TTCTCACTCTCCTTCTCTCTCTCTCCTTCTCTCTTTCTCTATCTCTCGAATATAACTTCCTAAATAAAAGGATGACATGTGAATGCATTTTTGAATAATGTTATAGAATTTTACTTTTTTTAACTAAATCAGATTTAATTGTACAAAATCCTGTTTGACTTTTTAACGATTCCCAAGATGATACACATTATATCGAATATTACAATGGCAACCTTTTACCCATGTTTTTATGCGAAACTTATCTAATTTTTATGCAATATTCTACATCAGGGCTCAAATTAATTTTTTGTCCACGGGGGCTCTTCCAAAAAAAAAGAGCCCCCGTGAGCCTTCTCACGGGGGCTCTTTTAGTGCTGACAGGGGCTCTTATTTTAATACAAATTTCCATTGAATTGGTACCCATGAAACTCCTAAATTCCTTGGTATTTTATCATTATCATTTATTTAAGTCGGCAATTTCCCTCTTAGAAATGTATTTGTTACATAGCTGTTATTGAATTTTATCCCCGTGATGACATTCTCTCCATTTCTTCCCGTTCTGCACATAATGTCCTCCTCATTATTCGGAGCAACCTTAATTACATTCTTTCTTTACTTTAAGTCTTTACCATATCCTTCCAAAACACAGGGGCGGATCTAGCTTTTTGCTAAGGGTGGGAGGGGATGTGGAGCATTGTCCACGAGCCGCGTAGCGGCGAGGCGATTTTTGTTGTTGCTACTTTGAACCCCCGTAAGTGATGTTTACATTGTCCACGAGCCGCGAAGCGGCGAGGCAATTTTTTTTGGTGCTATTTTGAACCCCCCGTTAGTGATGTTTTCCTGGCATCTACTGACATCTTCTATTACTGTGTAGGTCTATACACATGATAGCATTTTCTATGCACATCACATTTTCACTTGGCAGCCCAAGGGGGGGGGGGGGGGGGTTAAACCCCCTAAACCGCCTATTCCCCCCCCCCCCCCCCCCCCCCCCCCCCCCCCCGTGCAACATCTTTGGTGATCTTCTTCTCAATATTGATTTACTGGTCGAGTTACAATATTTGCTGGTCTTTTAGAATACATGTAATCAGATTTCAGAGAATTCACACTTTTCACAACGAAAAACTTCTCCATGTCCTTGCGCGATCGTCTCCAGCTCCAGCAGATATTGGGCGTCAGCAGCGTTACATCGGCACTACCGGCGCAGTATAGCCACTACTGACGGCCGCACTAGCTGCACTGCGAGCTTCCGTTGTTAATGTATCGGTATTTACTCATAGCGATGGGAGAGAAAGTGCCATTTAAGTTCCATTTCATTGGTTTAAGGTTTGAAAATTGATACTCAATATTGTGTTAAAGTTATATCAGAAAAGATAATCTTTATTCCACGGGGGCGATTTTTAGTTTTGCAATCGCCCCCATGAGCAACCTGACGGGGGCGATTATGGAGCTCACGGGGGCGAATGGCCCACCGCCCCCGTGTATTTTGAGCGCTGTTCTACATGTACCTTTTACTAAATTGGCCAAAATACAAAATGTTCTGCATTTTACCTACAATGTATAATTGTTATAATCTGTTTAAATCACTGGAGCATCTATTTGACTTTATAATTCCTGGATTTGGTTTCTGTTGTTGTCTCCGTTTCTGTCATTGAAGAAAACACCATAACCATAACTTACCCATCTGGCTATGCATTTTCCAACCAAAACATTTAATTCTTTTGAATATCAAAAATGTATTACTCCTCATTATATTGTATAAGTTTAATATATAATTTTATTGCAAATATGGTAATACAATTCGAATTTCTGTATATGTACCAAGCAATTTGCCAAGGTCATGCATAATGTTTTACGTGTAATTTTACTTTGTCACTGATGTATACTTTCTAAAAGAAACTGCAATTCGGCTCTCGGGCCGCGAATGTTTTTTAATGAAATAAACCATTTAAAATGAATAAATAAATAATAGAATTGGGCCTAAAATGCTTCCCTGAGGTTCACCGCACGTTTTAGGCATTAGTTTGGAACGAATATCATGAATGGCCACTACTTGGTGTAGATTAGATAAGTAGGATCTGAACCAATCTAAACTTGCCTTATCAAAACCCATTAGTTGTAACTTCTTCAATAAGACGCAATGATTAACTGTATCAAAAGCTTTTTGCAGATCAAGGAGCACCATACCAACAAAGCGCCCTTGGGAAGTTTCTCTCCTCAAATAATCAGTCAAATGAATTAGACATGTTTCAGTCAAATAATCATGTCGAAAACCAGATTGAAATTCATAAATTATATCATTTTCTTTGAAGTATCTTTCAATTTGAACACAGACCGATTTTTCTAGAATCTTTGATGCTACGCTTAAAACACTAATAGGTCTATAGTTGCTAACATCAGTTTTATCTTTCTTTTTATAAAGTGGAGTCACTTTTGCTATTTTCATATCCTCTGGAAAAGTACTCGTCAAGATAGATAGGTTCATTAAGTAACTTAGAGGCTTAAATAAAACCTTCGCACCATCTTTTAGAAATTTAGCTGGAATCAAGTCTAACCCAGTACTTTTTGATACATTCAACTTACGTAATTCTTTGAAAACAAATTGTTCACTATTGGTAATAACTCAAAGCTGTTTTCACGTACACCTTTTCTTCCTATTAATTTCAAAGTCATGAAATGCCACTAAATATCAACAAACATGGTCTACAACAACTCCACATGACAAAATAATCCCAGCTATGAATTTTTTTAAAGCATTTGATAGCTAAAAACTTGAAAATTATTGGCATTAAAAAAAAAAAAAAAAAAAAAATTCTGCCGATTTTTTTCCGATCCGGCCCGCATGTTTTGCCTCTTCTCTTAGACCAATATTATAATTTCAAAGTCATGAAAAGGCACTAAATATCAACAAACATGGTCTACAACAACTCCACATGACAAAATAATCCCTGCTATGATTTTTTTTTAAAGCATTTGATAGCTAAAAACTTGAAAATTTTCGGCATTTAAAAAAAAAAAAAAAAAATTCTGCCGATTTTTTTCCGATCCGGCCCGCATGTTTTGCCTCTTCTCTTAGACCATTATTATTAATTTCAAAGTCATGAAAAGGCACTAAATATCAACAAACATGGTCTACAACAACTCCACATGACAAAATAATCCCAGCTATGAATTTTTTTAAAGCATTTAATAGCTAAAAACTTGAAAATTTTTGGCATTAAAAAAAAAAAAAAAAAAAATTCTGCCGATTTTTTTACGATCATTTTTATTGATCGGCAATCGGAAATTATTATCCGATCACCCCTGATCGGATCGGTATCGGCATCCGATCCGATGATCGTTTACAGGGTTATTATAAACTACATATTGAGATCTATCAGAAAAATTACTTTCAAACCAAGATGACAGACAAATTCAAGTGTTGTTCTAGTTTCCAAGTGGTGATTCAACCCACCGATAACTGAGCTGGGAGACATTGCAAGGCATAGCGCCAGGTGGAGGGGAATAAATCGAGAAAAAAAACTTAAAAACACCGCACCCCCGACTTTGAATTTTTTTCGGCGGCAAAAAGGTGCGGTTTATACACCGTTAATTGCGGTAAGCAACTTTCAAAATCAAAAGTGGTTGCCATAACCTTGAAATTTCCCCCAAACCCATGGCCAAGAAGTTGTTAAATGTTTGTCACGGAAACGGCAGCCATTTTGAATTTTCATGGTCAAGGTAAGCAATTTTACTTTTAAAAGTTGTATAGTTGAATTTGCCATGTTATTAGACACTAAAATCATTAGAATCGGACAATGTTATTGTTAACTGTGTTGGTGAATTTGACCACCAGTTTAAAGTGCATTGACCTTTTTGACCATAGCGCCCTCATTTAAGGTTGAAGGTATAACAAACTGTACATTTTTGGAATCCTCATGACCAGACGAGTAATTTGATATACAATTTGATATTACACCGGAGTGTTGGCTCAGTCAGTAGAGCGTCCGCCTCACAACCGGGAGGTCGTGGGTTCAAACCCCGGCCGCGTCATACCAAAAGACGTTAAAAGATGGGAGTTGTTGTTACCCTGTTTGGCGTTCAACAATAAGGGATAGAGCAACGTCGATCTAGCGCTGCTCAGTGGCTGCCGGGCTCACGATCAATTGGGCAAAAAGAATTTCCCTTTCGGTTTAATAAAATTTGGAGTGGACTATTAGGCTATTATTATCATTATTATTATTATTATGTAGGTTAACTGTGTTAGTGAATTTGACCACCAGTCAAAAGTGTGTTGACCTTTCAACGTTTTTTACCATAGCGCCCTCATTTAAGGTCGGAGGTATAGCAAACTATACATTTTTTGAATCCTCATGACCAGACAAGTAGTTTGATATGCATACCGACACGATTTGAATATATTTGAATTTCTATTCCTGTTTGATCTTTGTTGACCCCTTACGAAAATGCCTGGGATTTTCAAGGGGGCAGCCCAAGTCAAAATTGTTCGGTATTCATCAGGGAACACAAAAACACTTTCAAACCTTTGTTCCCAGAGATTGGTCACGGGACCTACAGGCTGGTCTTCTAATAGAACAAATGAATTATACAAGTAACGAAATACTGATAAGTACAGGTATGTACATAATAAAATAAGTTTACAGAGTACATTTAATTTTGAGAATAAGACAAAATATTTTATATTGCTCGATTTAAATGAGAGGGGGAAAAAAGGGAATATCAGAAAAGTTAGGCTTGTTGAGCAAGATTCAGTGTGGTGGTTGGAGACTGTGTAGAAACTGTGTAGGGAACCATTTTGACTCGGGCCTACCTGATAATATAAAACCACATCCTTGCTCTTTTTGTATTTTTGTGGATATGCCCAGACTGTTTACATGATATATTTGCAGTTTAGTAAGAGATTCTTCTTCCTCTGTAGAAGTACAGGCCACCATGCTTTCGGTATATCTTCATACTTTCTTGTTCTATTAAACGAGAAAAATAATTCACACAAGTTTTCTTTATCTCTTGATTTATTTTAGCGTGTCGAGGACCACAGGAGAAAGTGGGACCGAGATGAGTATGAGAAGCTGGCAAAGGAACGTTTGGACCAGGAGCTGGAGGCTCAGGCAGAGAAAGGTAATTGACAACATTTCATGTGAAAGCCCATTCAGACATGAGCAAGCCTTTTCGTAAGTCAAAGCAGACCGGGAGCCAAATATCTGAAAAAGCGATTCCAAGTCCTAATTTTTTTTAGAAAACCAGGAGCTGTTTTCCAGGACCAGGAGCCATTTCCAAAATTGATGAAAATATGTATTCTTTTAAATTATTTGTTAACCGTTACCTTTTATTTATACGTAGTTTAATTTCTACTTTAAATTTTGAGCACTCTAATATTAAATCACTAGCTCATACCTTGGATAAATCTGTCATTTGAAGTTGTTGTAGTTCATGTTAAAACTATTTTCATGCCGTTAAATGTCAAATTTTTTAAAATGTTAGGAAGGGAGGAATTAATTTTTTTTTCTCTCAAAATTTGTCAAGTTTTTGGCTATCAAATACTGCAAAGCTGGGATTATTTTGTCATTTGGAGTTGTTGTAGACCATGTTTGTTGATAGAAAGTGCCTTTTCATGACTTTGAAATTAATAGAGAAGAGGCAAAACATGCGAGCCGACACTGTCTACAACAACTCTGAATGACAAACTAATCCCAGCTATGCATTTTTTTTAAAGTATTTGATAGCCCAAAACTTGAAAATTGTCGGCATATTTTTTTATATTTTTTTTATCTCTACCGATTATTTATCTCATTTCCCCTGATTGGCCAACGTTGAATTCGTGCACGAAATTGTGATCTATTTCCGTCATGATTGCCACATGAGTTGTGAAATCAAAGCTTGGATTGTGATTATTCAGGCCATGTATACTGAATTTTGAGAATTGTTTTTCAAAGTAAGGTTTTCACAACAAAGTAAAACTTTTAGACGGAGTGAGAGTGTTGCTCGCATACTCTCGATCTCCGCTCTGCACGCCGGCTAGCCGCCCGCGCATATTTTTTTTTACACAACTGTTTAGCCACTTCAGTCAAATATCCTGTGCAAACGACTAGAAACAGAGTCTAGCATTACCCTTGGCAGTTTTGTTGGATTGCTGGAGCTGTACATGTGTACTCGTTATTTGTTTCGGGTAAAATCTATCCTCTCTTCTCTTTCATTATGTATTTCTGTGTTCCCCTTTAATCTACCCTCTTCTCTTTTGTCATGTATTTCTTTCTTTTTTCTTCAATCTATCCCTTTTCTCCTTCGTTATTTTGTTTTTCCTTCAATCTATCCCCAGTTCTCCTTCGTTATGTATTTCTTTTGTTTTCCTTTATGCTAGCATCTTCTCTTTTGTTTTATGTATTTCTTTGTTTCTCCTTCAATCTATCCTTTTCTCCTTCGTCATCTATTTCTTTAATTGTTTTAATCTGATAGATTCCCTTTCTCGATCTTTATGTAAGTTCCCTGTTTTTCCTTAGTCTAGATCTATGATCCTCTTAGCTCTTCAATTATGTATTTCTATGTTCGTCCTTTGACTTATCCTCTTCTCTTTCCTTATGTATTTCCTTGTTTTTCCTTCTCTATATCCTCTCCACTATCCTTGTTTTCCCCTTTCTATCATCTTCCCTTCCATGCATGGGTGGGCATGCTTGCCCAATAGTGCTCTGACGACTTAGACTCTTTCACCAGAGCACTTCTTGGAATTTTTCCGCGAAAATGGCTAAACAGTTGTGTAAAAAAAATATGCGCTAGGGGTAGGAGATAGCGGCCGCTCGTAGTCGTGCTGCAATTGTTTTGGGGCGATTTTAATTAGGATTCTCATTATAAAATGATTTGTTAGGGTTCATTCAGTCCACATTTAACTTGTATCAAGTAAGTTTTTGTCACATTTATGAACATTTAGTGCTAGACATGTGGAAGTTTCTGAAACAGGAAATGTTAATCCTCCCAGACAAAAATAAAAAATGACTGGCGCCCAGTTCTCATTTTCCCTGTCTTACTGGGCGCCAAAAGTCAGGGACTGTTTGATTTCGCGCGGTTTAGATGCGGAAGCTGGATTGAGGTCGACTTGTGCAGGCGCCACCATTCCTGGAAGTTACTTTTTTATTTGAGGTCTCCTTCCACTATGATTTGCGAAATCTTAGGTTATAACCCAGCCATCCATAAAAAAACAATAAACCTTTATGTATTTAGTAATTTGTAACTATACTTTTTATGCCTCCGTTACGAAGTATCCGCAGGCATTATGTTTTCGGGTTGTCCGTCCGTCCGTACGTCCGTACGTCCCGTTCTCGTGATGGCGTTATCTGAAGAACCGATTGATGGATTCCTGCCAAACTTTTGTCATGTATGTATCTTGCAGAGCCGATGAACTGATTAGATTTTGGGGTCAAAGGTCAAAGGTCACAGGGCTCATTATGTATGCAAAAACAGCTCGTGATCGCGTTATCTGAAGAACCGATTGATGGATTCCTGCCAAACTTTGGTCATGTATGTATCTTGCAGAGCCGAGAAAATGATTAGATTTTGGGGCCACGAGGCCAAAGATCACAGGGCTCATTATGTATGCAAAAACAGCTCGTGATCGCGTTATCTCAAGAACCGATTGATGGATTCCTGCCAAACTTAGGTCATGTATGTTACTTGCAGAGCCGATAAATTGATTAGATTTTGGGGTCAAGGCCAAAGGTCATGTGGCTCATTATGTATGCAAAAATAGCTTGTGATCGCATTATCATTAGAACAGATTGATAGATTCCTGCCAAACTTAGATCATTTATGTATCTTGCAGAGCCAATGAACTGAGTAGATTCTTGGGTCATGAGGTCAAAGGTCAAAGGTCATGGGCTCATTATGTATGCAAAAATAGCTTGTGAACGCATTCTCATTAGAACTGACAGATGGATTACTATTTAACTCAGGACATCTTGCAGAGCCGATGAACTGAGTAGATATTAGGGTCATGAGGTCAAAGATCAAAGGGTCATGAGAAATTGCTTGTAATCACGATATTCTGAGAACCTGATTACAATTGAACTTGAATTTGAAAAATTTCTTCTGTTTTGGTTTGTAAAATTGCTCTATGACGGAGGCATCATTTTCGACTGCGCGCAGTCGAAGTTCCATCTAGTTCCTGTTTTGTTCAGGTTCAATAAGTGACATGTGTTAAGGCAGCATTGAAAAATAAAAAATGATCATCGAAATTCAGTATACAACTATACATGGCCAGAATAATCACAATCTAAGCTCAGGTTTCATACCTCTATTCACGAAACAATTTGAAATCGCAGCAATAATGATGCAAACAGACAGCATCTTCAAAGTGTTGTCGAGTCTCTTTGACTCTAGCTCACACAGCTCACAGTTCCGGCAGCAGCACTGCATTGTACGTGTATGGACTCAAGGCAGCTTGTAACTGAACTGTTAGTCACGATTATTTTCTCAAGTTGTGAAAACTTTACTTTGAAAAATGATAATCAAAATTCAGTAAACACGGCCAGAATAATCACAAAATAAGCTTTGATTTCATACCTCTATTCACAAAAACTATAAAATAATCACGGCGATATGATGAAAATAGATTGCAGTTTCGCGAGGCTTAGCGAATGGTCTAGGTTCAGCTAATACGATCTATCAAATCAAAATCGACCAGTAAAAACTTGGGTCCCTACGTTCCGTCTCGCAATCGTGAAAATTTACGTGTTTCGCGTATGTGCGACATGGTAAGCCAGGTAAGGTATGGATCAAGTTTTTTACGACCGAATTTGTGTACACAATTTTACACAGAGATACAGCGCACATGTGCACGCCGACCAAGAAATACCCACAATGAATAGGAAGCTAGAAGAGAGGTGCCGCACGTAATCGTTACGGGGGGTGGTTTTAGATCATTTCCTTTTTTGAAGTGTCCCCGTACCGTATCAGATATTTGGCCTATTTCGGGGGCTGTTTATGGTGTTTCGGGGCAAATTCGCCCGCCGCCCCCGTGTATTTTTTTTCCCTGGCACAGCTTTGTACATGTATTTTACCCCCGCAAATCTTACCATTTATTTACCGGTACTCATTATGCTTGGTCACAATTTTTTTGGAGGCAGTTTTATCTTGTCATATCCGAACAGGGCTTTAGTTTTGGAGAAAAGGTTTAGACGTTTGAGATGAGATTTAAAGAAGATTTGATGTAGGCACATAGAGATATGGTAGATGAAAGGATATTTGTCTTAGAAATGAAGAAGTTATTGCTCATACTGGTAAAGATACACACAGGTCTCAAAACTCGTTCATAAGCAACTTCAAAGAAATGTATGAAATTCCAAATGGTATAGATGCATGATACGATGAATGAAATCTAAAATTTCTGCAATCCTTATTTTTCAGAGCGGAGGAGAAAAGAGCCACCTGTCAAGCGTGAGCTTCTCAAACAGCGTGATTACAAGGTAGACCTTGACTCAAAGCTGGGAAAGTCCCAGGTCATCACCAAGACAACGCCTTCCTCACAGATGGGCGGGTACTACTGCGATGTTTGCGACTGTGTTGTTAAAGACTCCATCAACTTCCTGGATCACATCAATGGCAAAAAACGTAGGTTGTTTGCAAAATACACTGTGTTCCAGAAAAAACGAAACCGAGAATTATCAATGTTTTATCATAACTTAATCACAATTATAATTAATAAATGACACATATTTGTAAAGTTTAGATCCTCCTTTTTCATTTTATGCAACTCATATGATGCATATTTCACGCATGAGTGATAAAACAAAATTTGAAGGAAGGAAACCAAAAAGTCATTTGGCGGGCGGTATCTGAATTTCGAAGAAAAATTCACATTTCTAGAAAGTTCAGTTTCTACCCTTTCATATGACACCTCAATCAGGAAAAATGAGGAAGGAATAACAAAGTTATGTTTGTTTAAAGTGATGCTTGCATTTACATAATTTGATTTAAAAAGTTTGTTTTCACTGGCTGCCTGCCATAGCAACAGGCAGAATGGACAGAAAACTTAACTCTGTTTCATTGACAATCAGCCATGCATGAAGTCTTTGTCTATGTCTGATCGTCAACAAAACGGAGTTAAGTCTTTTGTTGCTGCGTTTGTTGCTGCGGCAGGCAGCCAGTGAAAACAAATTTGTTTAATACAAATTGAAAACTTGCTTCTGTTTCGGTTTGTAAAATCGAATTCGAAGTTCCATCTAGTTTTTTATTGAATATAAAAAAAATAAAATTAAAAAAAATATAAATATATACACTATGTATTTTCACTTGTCAAAGAATCTTGTACAGAAGTTAAGGGGTATAATAGCAGAGGGCTATTTTCATTTGTTATACACATGTGTCCTTGTAGCCTTGACAGTAAAACTTTTTGTCAAACAAGTCTTGTCCAAAAAGAAAACCATTAAACTTTTTCCTCCTAGATATTGGAATGAGTTCAGTAAATCACCAATAACCTGACATTGCAACAAAATTCTTAATATCCATAATTGTACCCCCCCACCATCTTTACCTTATAACTTATGTATGACGATGGAAAACAAAAAGGGAATGAAATGTTATGTGATGTGCACAAATAATTTCTTTTTTGATACCTTACAGATCAAAGAAATTTAGGTATGTCAATGAACGTGGAGAGGTCGTCCTTAGATCAAGTCAAGAAACGGTTTGAGATGAACAAGAAAAAAGTGGAAGAAAAGAAAAAGGACTACGATTTTGAAGCAAGGCTCCAAGAACTGAAAGAAGAGGTGTGTATTTGAGTATGATACAGAGATGCCAACCAGTACGATTAAATCGTATAGTAACAGTGAAATGCGATCTTAAAATCTTAAAATACGATTTTTCATTAAAAAAAAAAAAACCATAATAACAGCGTAATCGCATAGAAACATGTACAAGTAAACCTCCGCAACCCCAACAAAAACTTTGCTTTACCCTTTTCTCATTAAATTTTGATGAAAGAGCAAACATTTTTCTGAAATTTTACCGGCCCGGGGCCGACGGGCCAGTGGTAGTGTCGAGTTTTCGTGAAAATCTGATTTTTCTCTCCAAAATCTGATTTTTTAGGATACTCAGTCTGTTTTTTTTGTGTCAAGAGGTTGGCATCTCTGATATTGATATCTTCTTGCTTCTGCATACCGTATTTGCCGGCGATAAGTTATATCGGAGGCGGGATTCGAACTCACCCGAACAAATGTAGAATGCGACTCAAATCACTGCCTTAGACCGCTCGGCTATCCTGACCCTGATGCTTTCACTTGGAGCTTTCTCCTGTGTATTGCCCCTATCTCTTGTGTATTGCACCATATCTAAATGCTTACACGAGCTGAGGTTGCTTTAGCTCTGGCAAAAACTCAAATCTAGATTTACCAGTAGAGTTTGGTCGGTAAGTTATGAATTTTATTTACGAGATTTTGCTCTTCATTTAAAAAATATGACACATAATTGTCGGTAAGACAGTTATTCTAGAAATGTCCATCATCTTTCATTGTTATCCCATATGTACAAATTCGTGCTGCTTTTCATGGTTTTGACTTTTTTTTTTACTCTTTCGCCGCAAAGGCCACACCCCGACTTTTTGATATTTTCTCTTCCAAAAATACTGCGGCCTTTACGCCAGCAAAAACGGTAACCCATTTGTTTTGACGAGTGGTATCGTGCACAGATATTTGTATGGCTCCAACCATGGAAAATGTCTTCATCCTGTGATAACTTGAAAATGCATTGTTAGTTAGTAGCACAGACGACGCCAACAGAAAAATGGTGTTCACCTAAATTTTATTGCAAATTCTGTAGTAAAATTTAATGCTTAAAACAATGCCACCAACTGATTTTTTAAATCGGTTCCCAAATTACCCAATTTCAGGGGCCCACTAGTGTTTTCATGCATTTCGGAACATATGTTTTGGCTGAAATTGTTTGGTGTAGAAAACCAGCTATGAACAGTAGGGGTCATTCCACGAGGTTTGGGCAATTTTTGTGACATACTAGAAGTGAGAAACTATGTCTCCTATCAACTGTAACAATATTTGCTCTAATTGAGTTTTGCATAAAAGCATAGCCAACTCTTTTCAGTAATACTCAGCTTCATGGTGAATCAATATTATGGATCCAAAGTTTATGTAATGTTAAAGGTAAAGACCAGTTTTGGAAATGCCCCCCTCTCAAAAGATGAAATGGAAGCTCTTATTGAATGATATGTAACTATAATCATCAGACATAGCTACACTTTTCGCTTTTCAGTTTTCACCCCTTATTATATTTGAATTTTTCCACTTTGTAACATGATATTAATTTTAATGAATTCTATCCAGTTTATTGACAAATCATTGCTGTATCAATCGTAACTGCTAAACTTATTTTCCTCTTCCATTCTCTCCCATGTTTCTATCACTCTTTCTCCCCCCTCTCTCTCTATCTCTCTCCCCTCTCTCTCTCTCTGTCTCTCTCCTATACTCTCTCTCTCTCTTCTCTCCTTTTCATTTCCCCCTTCTCTCCTATTGTATCCGTCACCCTGTATGTGTCTCTATTGTAACGATTTTGAATAGCTGGCCCCGTTTACAAACTGATCAGCACATGTTACGCTTTGAACCTATGAATATTTAAAGTATATCTATTTTTTGCCTTTGTAAATCTTAACTTATTTTCTGTCAAATGTAAATTTCCAATGTATCACTGTATTTTACTGAGCTTTTTAGTCTGTTAAAATCACGCAATTATTCACTTTTGAAATATATTGCAACTATTGTATAAGCCTGTCTGGTTACAAACAAACACGACCCTTTTAAAATCAATGAATATCGGAGAGGAAATATTATTGCATGTTCACATTTATATATATATATATCTTTATATTTTATATTTTTACTATGAACTTGAACGAATTTTGAATTTATATCTTGTAATGTCTGATTTCACATTTATTTATTGTAATGTAATTTTTTTAATCAATTTGTAAAAAGTCACACAATTCAGCCTTCGGGCTGCGAGATGATTTTCAATAAAACAAACCATTTATATATTATATATATATATATATATATATTACCAATCATGTGAAAGAATATGTTTTGACTAATACGTGACGATACAAATTTTGCTGAGAAACCGCCTACTAATCGATATATTTGGTAAATTATTATATCTATTTGGACCAGATAGATATCGTGCACGTGTTGTGCACATGTCGCATAGTCCCATATACATCTTTCTGTGTACAGTGCTTGTAACTTTATCAAGACTGGGCAAAATTTCTTATCATTTTGATGATTCCAGAACCTTGCAGTACACACCAATAACTTATATGCTAGATGATCAACCTTTTCTGATCAATTCCACAAGTTTCTTTCACAATGTAATCGCATGACCATAACTGTTTTTGTTCTTTAAATGAATATGGTGTCCATGTATCGCTGGTAAAAAGATAAATGTGTAGTAAAGGCATTGTTTAACAATGTTAAATCTGAGATGCATGGCCCTACGTGTTATTAGTGTCTTTGGTATGATGTAATAATGGGGCCCTAAAAAAAAAAAAATGATCAATTAAGTGCCACAAAAAAGTAAAAAATCTTTGAGTGACCGGTTTTACCATACTTGTTTTCCCCTAATAGACTGTAGTGTTAGGAAAACCGTCAGGGAAACGCAAAATTTGATTTTGATTTCCAATCATAAATATCTTGATAATCAGACAGGGTATCGGCTTGTAAAAGTCATGGGGTTCCTGACTGACCTAAAGGTTTATAATTATCATTGTAGCATGAGCTAAATCCAGGATTTTGTTTCATAAACTGAGACAAAGTTACCCAATCCCTTTAAGAAAATATTTTGAAGAAAAGTGACTGAAACAGGAACGATTCTGGTAAGGCACTACTAAATATATTCATTGCATAAAAATCTTCAACAGATAATTGCATTATCCATGTGTATTAGAAGATCTTATACCAACGTTACATGGACACCGTCATATTTTTTGCCCCCATTTCATGGAATGACCCTGAAATTGCTCCAAAAGGGCCCCAAAGGGCCAGCAATTCTAGACAGTCAAAATGACTGCCTTAAACTATTTTCTGGGGTAATAGAATCACAGAAAATCTCTATTTCGGTATCAAAATACATTGCTGATTGTGGGTATGAGGCATTGATAGCCAAAAATGCTCAGGTACCCAAAATCTTATCTTATTGGCCCAAATTTAAAATAATGACTCAAGAGCATCAAACTGTACATTATGTAGTTGTATGATATATTTTCTCAACCAAGTTCCAAGTACCTTTTCATTGCATTTTGGGGTTTAAAGGTATTACAAAGTTTTGGTATGGGGTCATGAATTTGGTTCAAATTAACATATTAGAAGCATATGCGTTCCTACAATATACATTGATCGTTGTCGCGGTTGAAATCGAGTCTAAAGTTATGAAATTATAAATAATAAACTCTTTATGTTGTATAGCTCCCTCTCAAGGTCAAGATATTAATTTAGCTATGAAACAATGTTTCTTGACTGAAATCGACCGATTAGCTGTTCCCGTTAGGAAATTATATATCCCAACTACATATTCTGAGATTTTCATGGTCGCAGCTACGAGTGTACGGCCATAGGCGCTATTTGAAATTTATCAAAATTTACCGGGAGCACCGGTAAATTTTTATATTCAATTTTTCTCGAAAACAGAAGTGTTTTAGGGGCTAATTTTTTAGTGCTTATAATACATCCACAGGGGCATCCAAATATATCAAATTGTAAAGATTCACTATCCACCCAATTTTCAAAATTTCCCAAAACTTTGTATTACCTTTAAAGGTAATACAAAGTTTTGGGAATTTTTGAAAATTGAATGGTGGGGATTCTTTTCAACTTTGATATATTTGGATGCCCCTGTGGATGCATTATAAGCACTAGAAAATTTAGCCCCTAAAACAGTTCTGCTTTCGAGAAAAATTGAACATAAAAATTTACCGGTGCTCCCGGTAAATTCTGATGAATTTCAAATAGCACCGTACGGCCGTACAGTGGTAGCTGCGACCATGACAATTTCAAAATATGTAGTTGTGATATATAATTTCACAACGGGAATTGTTAATCGGTCGATTTTAGTCAAGAAATATTGTTTTCTAGTTAATTGATATCTTGACCTTGAGAGGGAGCTATACAACATAAAGAGTTTATTATTTATAATTTCATAACTTTAGGATCGATTTTAACCGCGACAAGTATCACTGAATATTGTAGGAACGCATATGCTTCCAATATGTTCATTTGAACCAAATTCATGACCCCAGTACCAAAACTTTGGATTACCTTTAATAATGACTCTTGCTCAATAATCTAAATATTTAAAGGATTTTCTTTCGTAAAAATATTGTTATTTTTTAGTATTCCTGGTATTTCCCATTTGGGTAAAAGTTTGCTTGGCGATATTTAACGGCCAACCCTGATGGTTGGTGAGAATTGCACACAGGGCGGTGGCATTATTGTGGAATGCACGTAGTAAAAGAGCTTTTTGTGATGTTTTGCAGGAGGAAAAGCACAAGGCATATCAGAGAGAGAAGAGGAAGGACAGGAAAAGGAGAGCTGATGATGGAGTGATAGATAGAATAGATCCGGATATGGCCTCTATGATGGGTTTTGCTGGATTTGGTAGCATTAAAAAGAAGTGTAAGTATTAAAAAAAACAAAAAAAACAATGCAAAACTTACAACTAAATGAAAAATCCACGGAAATGTTACAAGTCTTGCATGTGAAGCTGAATGTTATATGAACACTATCGATATAGTTTTAAATATGTGATACAAGTGATTTTGTGTGATCTTTTTCTATATACATGTATGCACTTGCATGAAACCCAAGTCTGACTTGGGTTATGTTATCCTTTACTAGTATTTCTATGTTCTAATTAAATTTTTATGCCTCCGTTACGAAGTAGCCGGAGGCATTACGTTTTCTGGTTGTCCGTCCGTCCGTCCGTCCGTATGTCCCGTTCTCGTGATCGCGCTATTTGAAGAACCGATTAATGGATTCCTGCCAAACTTAGATCATGTATGTATCTTGCAGAGCCAATGAACCAAGTAGATTCTTGGGTCATGAGGTCAAAGGTCAAATGTCATGGGCTCATTATGTATGCAAAAATAGCTTGTGAACGCATTCTCATTAGAACTGACAGATGGATTACTATTGAACTCAGGACATCTTGCAGAGCCAATGAACTGAGTAGATTTTAGGGTCATGAGGTCAAAGATCAAAGGGTCATATATGTATATGAGTAATTGCTTGTAATCACGATATTTTGAGAACCTGTTAATGGATTACAATGAAACTTGAAATTGAAAAATTTCTTCTGTTTTGGTTTGTAAACTTGCTCTATGACGGAGGCATCATTTTCGACTGCGCGCAGTCGAAGTTCCATCTAGTTACCCATAGAATGCAGTTGGGGGAATTGAATGCATACTGGCTGTACAGTACTTACTCTTTAAGGGAACCTCACCTCAGAGAATAAGTGTAGGTCGGTTAAAAATGAGATGTATTCATGCCCTTTGATGTATGATATTCCTTACGAAAGTGTTCAAGAGATACATGAAAGAAGATATTCTTGGCGTGATGATGTACCTTTTAGCTTGACATAGGCGCAGCCATTTTCTTGATAATGTTACATACTAGTTGAACTCGTACATTCTACAACAAAACCTTTACTTTTCAATGAGGGTAAATCAAAGCTGAGAAGGTAAAAATTATATTTGGTGAAAATATAACAGTTGGACAATTGAATCTCATTCAGATGCTGCTTATAAGTATCGGCTTGCATGGTGATGTAGATATACAGTAGGCTTACGTTTGCACCATGTGAGAGAGGGGAGGATTGGGGAGTCCTGAAAAGGACTGCTGGTAATCAAAAAGAAAATGGTTTCAATTCAGGAATTTGTTTATATCAACCTCATAGCTTTACTGTAAATAAGAAGGATACTAGTAACACAGCACTTAACATGTAAATATTGTCTGCAACAGTACCGCCTTGAGCTCATGCCTCTGTACTGTAGCTGTGTGTGCCATAGCTTGTTGTCTCGCCTGCATAGCAAAAAGCGAGACATAGGCGCCGCTTTTCCGGTGACGGCGACGGCGGCGGCGTCAACATCAAAAACTTAACCTGAGATTAAGTTTTTGAATTTTTGATATAATTTTTAGAGTATAGGTTCTTAGTCAATGAAACTTGGACTATAGGGTTATCAAGTCTCCCCAATCATGTGAGTAGAATTTCAGGTCACTAAGTTAAGGTCAAAGGTCATTTAAGGTCAACAAACTTAGACTTTGTTGTGGATTTTCAAAATGCTTCTTCGTTATTTTTCAACCGATTTTGATTCTGATTGTTTCATATGATAGGGCTAGGAGGGGGATTTAAAACTTTTACACAGAATCGTGAAATTCATTATCTATGCTAATTTATGCAAATTTATTCGAGATCACAAAAAATACTTCTTCATTTCTCGACTGATTTTGATTTGGTTTGCTTTATCTGGTAGAGCTAACTTTGGTACACTAAACTTCCACACCAAATTTTGAAATTGTTCTCCATTAATTAATTATGGTAATTTATGCAAATTTATTCCAAAAATAACAAAAATTGCTTCTCCCTCATTTCTTGACCGATTTTGATTTGGTTTGCTAAATTTGGAAGACTAAACTTCTACACAGAATTTTGAGATTTTGCTCCATTGATTATTTATGGTACTTTATGAATTATGTCCCTTCCAGGGCATCAAATTTTTATTTTTTGACCATTTCAAAAGTGTACCACATAAAATTTACGATATTTGTTGTTGCGAGATGCGAGATGCGTCATTGACGTTCTGGTTTATCATATTGAATTGCGTTAGGGAGGCGAGACCGTCGAGAGCGTTTCCCTTGTTAATGTATTTTTGTGTCATTGAGCATGTGTGAGTCATGTGAGATTGCAGTGTACGTCACGTTACTCGTAAGGTAGCTGCTTTCAATTCCTAAAAAATGCCCCATTCATTTTCCATTGTATCCCCGAAAATGAGGCGTGGGCAAGTCAAAACAATGAAAACAGCTTTGCATGCAAGGTACACGCATATTATACACTGCACATTTGTGTGTATGTGCTGTGTGTTCATGTATGCTTTGTCTGTGTTTGTCAGTAGTGATGTGACTGTGATCAGCTAACTCTACTGATGACCAATCAGAGAGTTTCCCCCGAGTGGGCGGAGAGTGAAACCAGCATAAATTAGTGTTCAGTGACTGCTGGCACAGTAGAACAGATGATCATAAATTATGAAGTTTGTTGAACTGATAATTGGGGGCAAATTTACATGTGTATGAGAGTGTATGTGAAAGGTGGAGGCTAAGCTGGGATAAAGTCGGCAGAGATTCAAAGAGTAATGTCATCGCCAAATTACTTCCTGACAAGCGGGTGAATTAGCAAACAATACATAAGCTAATTCATTATCTGAAGATAATTATTGTGGTCCATCCTCTCTCTGATTATTCCAATGGCTCTTCCCCTTGATTCTTTAAATTTCTTTTACAAACAGTTTAAGCTCAGATTAGAAGAAGAAAAAAAAGGATAAGTGGGTGAAATGTTGATAGTCTTTAGAGATGAGAAGGGAAAAGAAGTAATCTCATCATCATTCTTACTTCCATCTCTCCCTTCCATCTCTCCCTTTTTTTTCCTATTCTATTTATCATCTTTCAAATAGTTTTTGGACCTATTTTCCACCTCAAATATTGCATTTAGACAATTTGATCTTCTTTCTTCAAAAAGTTTTCATTTTGACTCTTGATCCCTCCCCAAAAATTCATTCACATTTCTTTATCTCTTTCCCTATTGACTTTCGCTCATTCTCGATTCCCTCATTGCATAAAAAAAAAAACACGCAGATGAAAGATTGATTAATGCAAGCCAGACATCAGGGGGGTGATTCACTAACAACTAAAATCGATCCCAAGTGAGGTTAAATCGCTCAATATCACTCCTAAGAGCGACATCGCTTTTAGGAACTGATTCACTAAGGCATTTGGGATTAATGCTAGCAGTGAAATCGCTATTAAGCCAGAGAGTGATCCGGATCGCTCTTAGCCTTACCTATAATTAGACAGACGTCCGATAGCAACACTTTCTGGCAAAGACAAAACTTTCAAACTGAAGCTAAATTAGAGCGAACACAAGGAAGATAGATATAGTCAGGTCAAGATATGGTTTGACCCCCCCCCCCCCCAAATTGCAACAAAAGGTTTTTCAACGGTTTCTAGTAGGATTTGACCTCAGGAATAACATACTAAAAGTATACCAAAATCGAAGGTTCAGAAATCTGTTATTTTCAAGATGGCGTCCAAGATGGCCGCCGATACTAAAAATGGCCATAAATCACTTATTATCCATCCTAGAGACATAATTTTGGTGTCTATCCCATGGTTTTAGGGGTCAGAGAATCCATTGAGACAAGTAAAAATGGGTTGTGACGGTCTAGGAACCCCCAAAATCCAAGATGGCGTCCAAAATGGCCGCCATAACATAAACATAGCCATAAGTCACTTATTATTCATCCGAAAGACATAATTGGGGTGTCTATGCTATGGTTTTCGGGGTCATAGAATCAAGAGTATTAAAGGTACCACTATGTCCCATTTGCAGGCCAAAAAATGAAAAGGTTAAATTCCAACGGCATTTGAAAGACAATACTAATTTAGAACTTCCCTTTAAAAAAAGGGAGCTTGAAAATGTCTTTAAGTGGGAAAATAAAGACTATTAGTTGTCGAATCGACTTAGGAGCTATAGATCCAGTAAGTAATAGTCTGATTTTTCAGACCATTGTACCGAATGGTCCTAAGTTTTATGCTGCGCAAAGATTCAATTAGTTTAATTTTGGCCATTACAAGAAGTGGGTTATTGATGTAGACAAATGCTTGTGTACCCTTTACAGCTCACTTAATATGTATGTTATTACCTAAGATGAAAAAAGCCAGTCAGTCACTCAATAGTGTCTGACAGTGAAGTCAAGCAAGTAAACCGGTTTCCTTGTATAATTTGAATATTAGGACACTGCTCAAGTTTAAATTTCATAGATAGGACATACATAACATTCATAATTCCTGCAAAGTTCTACAGAATTTGATGTAGGCTGCAAAAGGGACATAGTATCTTTAACATATACTTTTTCATATTCAGTTATGAATAATTGTTGATATCTCTGAACTTCAAACATGTTTTACATTTTATTTTATTCCTTACAGTTTGATGATTATCTCCAGAGCTTAACACTGCAGAATATTGAAAAGAGACGAAGCAAACACTACAGTGGTGCCAAGACCCCTTTCTCACTCATTTTGCTTGACCGATCGACTGGCCTGCTCCAGAGGTACGGTTCATTTGGTTTCACACCCATCACAATTTTTACCGTGATGAGACACATGATGCTATGGCAACAGGAACATTTTCAGCTGCTATGACAACACAGGTCATTTTCGCCTAGAATCCAACTGAATGTACTGCTGTTTGTCTCACACAATTACTACTTTTTTTCCTTTTCATATTCTCTTCTATCTTTCACTTTATTATTCTTTATCTTTAATATTCTATATATAAGATTTATTGAAATCAAATCACATAAAAAACCAAGAACACACAGTTCGAAGACTGACACCTGTCTTGGGAACGATATCAAATTTAAATCAAGTATACGTAATTAAATAGCATAAATGAATACATAAATATGTTACACAAGTTAAAATATGAAATAATAATAATAATAATAAGATATTTTTATACCGCAATTGCATATTGCCTCTAAGCTGTTTAAAACAACAATAACAACAATAGGTATACCTCATTACATTTACATCAATAGAGGACTCTTGAGCTGTGCAATAAATATCATCTTCTCTTTCCATCTTTCCTTATATCATCTTGTCTTCTATCTTTCCTGTTGCGATTCTTTGTCATTTTCTCTTTCTATCTTTCCTCATGTTATTCTTTGTTTTAATGCCTCTGCCAACCAAAGGCATTATGTTTTCGGGTTGTTCGTCCGTACATCCGTCAAGCTTTCTTAATGCGACATCTCAAGAACCACTTGAGATATGAACTTCAAAATTGATGACAATCCGATTTGATTTTGGCAGAGCTGCCAACCATTACGTTTTTCCCGAAATTATTCTGTTTTTTTCTCAAAATGAATTTTTGGTGCACAAACGGCACATCAACCAAATGCCCTAAAATGTTGATCACTACTTCAATAGAAAACTTTAATAAAGATTATGAAGAGTACAAATTTAAAAAATAAAGTAAAAGATAGAAGAAAAAAAAAGTGAAAGGCGTAAATATTCTCAAAAAGAATGAAATGCTGATAAACCAATAACACAACAAAAAATTGTGTCGCGCGTAGTTGTAAGTTTAGTTTTAATGAATTCCTTTTTTTTTTTTGAAATTCCTTTTTTTTTGCCATCATGGCTCCTTTTTTTGGGTTGCACAAGGTTGGCAGGTCCGTTCTGGAGTAACAAGATTTTGGAGTAACTACGTCAAAGGTCACAGAAGTCAATTTTTTAAAAATCTAGATAAAGCCTTGTTATCACGATATCTCAAGAACCACTAGAGATACAAGGCTCAAACTTGGTGATAGCATGTATCGACATAGGAAGATAGCCGGATTAGATTTTGGTTTAAAAGGTCAAAGAGGTCAATCTCTGAACTTACAGATTTTAGCCTTGCTATTGCGATATCAAAAGAACTACAAGAGATGGGCTTTTTGTGTTCATTATATGTCACAAATAATTCCATCCATTTCGTATACTGAATTTAGAGTAGAGGCATATAGGAGGCGCAGTCGCATTTGTCTTGTTCCTTCTCTCATTTCATCTTTTTTTTCCTTCTTTCACCTCATTTATTCTCTCCCTTTGATAATATTTATCGTTTTCTCTTTCCTTTAATATGTGTTTCTTTGTTTTTTCCTCTCATTTTTTAATCATTCTATCTTCCCTTATGATACTTTTTGTTTTTTATCCTATCTTTTTTTCCATCCTATCCTCTTTTTTTCTACCTTTTTTATGCTAATCTTTGTCTTTCCTTATGTCATCAGTGTTTTTTTTCCATCTTTCATCTCCTTGTCCATCTCAATCTTTGCAATTGATTCTCTTTGTGCTCAGTCTATTGCCTTCTCTACTTGTCTTTTCTTACGTTCTTCTGAATCTTTACCATTCTATCATCTTATGTTTTTATCTTTCCTTATGTTAATTATTCTTTGTTTTTATTCTTTCACTGTAATCTCTTTCTGTCTTTCTTTACTTTCCAAAACGAGCTAAATTTTGGTTGAAGTACGCTTCCTGGCACCGTTTGCTTTCACACTGCTAGTTAGAGTACTCTAAGTTAGACTGGTCCAGGAAGTGAGTGAGAAAGGGCATCCAAGTTCAGCGGAATGAAAGATTTCAATCTGTCCTTAGACATGATGAAACATCAGTGCGAGAATTAACATCTGATATTTTGAGTAAAAGACTTTTTAAAAGAAAATTTTTTCTTCTCAGTTCATGTACCCAAAAGGGGAGGGGGGAGGCCGTCAAAGTATGTATCTGGCCAATCGAAATAATCTTTCACCTATCTGGGATCTAGCTTGTTCAGGCAAGCTTGCGCCACATATTACAGCTCAGAGTCAAATGCATACCTGCCTTTGTTAGAAAGTGGTAGATAAGTTAAAGATAAACATTCATTAGGAAGATTAAATGAGAACTTACCTGTTTGAAATTTAATCTGGATTTTATAAGTTAGTCGTAAAGAGACTACATGTCCGATTGGGGTGTAAAATGAGATCCCGCTGATCACGTGTGTGTCAATCTTACAAGCAGTACGAGGCTACAGGATAAGCATAGGAAGATAAATGTTGAGAACTTGTCTGATTAAAGCTACGTAAGTCGCAGGGTGGGAGGGGAGGATTACATGTTCGTGCTATCACCCATCGGCACGCCTCGGGGCGATAGCACGATCATGTTACCTCCCCTTGAGCGTATAAAAACAACTATGTCTCTCATAGCAGTCATTATTACTATTCTATGTTAAAGAAAATAAAAGAGAGGTTTTTATTCTATTGGTAAGGAACATACATTCTTGTGAGCTTCTTTTTGCAATGACAGAGTCATTTGCAGAGTCATTGCCCCATTTTCGTTTGCGTTCTAAACTTTTCTTCTTCACCAAAATCCCATTCGTTTTGCACATAGTGCTTGTGAACCCTACGTACACGTAGCTTCCTCTATCCAGATTCCTATCAAACTTTGTAGGCATAGTCTTTATCATCCCATCAAGGTCACCCAACTCTTCGTTTTCCAAAATCACTCATGCGAGACTGTAGAGGTGCCATTTTTCCATTTTGGGCTCTTTTTTTAGGCCTTTCTTTTACCCCATCCATCTCCACTATCTTAGGTGCTATAGACTTCTTTCGAATTGCTATCAACCTGTATCAAGATTGGTGATGGCAATTACGTACGTCATTGTATGCACATCGTTCTAACATGATTACAGTTCTAGTTTTTTCCTCTTCTACTTTAATATTTCTAATTGAGTACTGTCAATTGTATTGTATTTAAAGTAGATACAACTCTAAATAATCATGAAAATAAGTTTCTGGTTTGAGTAAAATGCCAAGCATTCTACAGGAAATCATAAGTTTTGAACAAACTGAAATGATCTTGTGCATTGCTTAGTCACATCTCTTCATTCTTTCTCCATGCAACAGAAATGGTACCAGATCTAATATGACCTGGCATATATTTTGATTTCCGTATTTATTTTTCATTGTTCCAAATTTACCTCAATACAAATTTGCTGTAACAGTGATTTTTATAATGTGGTTCCATTGAATTTAGTCATCTGGGGTTTTATATTAAAATAATGTGAGATGACTTTTTATTGAAATCGCGACTTTATTATAAATTTGATTAAATTCCTTTTTTAAAGATATGAATAAAACTATTTCTTAGAAAAGAATGAGTATTTAAATGTACTTTATTTTGTTTCAGAATATATTACCCAAGATAACACAGTACCCACAATGTGATTCTCTTTATCTTTTCTTGTTTGTAATCGATCAATGTCAAAACTTTGCATTATACACTTGTAACAGGATAAACTTCCTAACCTTTAGATAGAAATAGTTTTACAGTATATTTAAAAAAAATGACCAACTGACCACAGAGAAAGCATTTTCTACTACTTTTCATATAAGATACACTCGTAACCATTGTTATACTACTTTTACAACAGTAAGAACACATATATACTTGTTTGTGCTGAGTGAGTTAACAAATAAGTGTTAATGCATTTTTCATTTGAAAATTTATTCTGATTCCACAATTTTATATGTTGCCCAAGGAAAGTTGAGATCCAGCAATGCTTGACTGGAAGGTTATTTGATGTTATGTTTTCTCTGTGTCATTCGACTTTTTGTTGATATTTGCACATGTGGTAGTGAATCATGGCAATATCTATGTTTGTCAAGTTAAGAACTATTGTTCATATTAAATGTAAATGTAAATACCTGTAGAATAAAAGTAATAATTTAAAATAATGCCACTTCCTGAATTGTTCTTTAAAGACTGGATTGAAGATGTAAAGTTAAGAATATTATTCAGATATCTTTTGTTGGGGCTATGTACGATGACAAGATTACAAGTGTTTTGGGAAATTGTGCAAACAAGATAAATGTGACTGCATCTCCTATAAGCCTCCGCCTTATAAAATTCAGTATAAAAAATGCATGAAATTATTCATTACACATCACAGTGAAAATAAAAAGCCTATAATCAAATGTCAATGGATGACTATGGTCTGGGGGGGGGGGGGGGCATGTGCCCCGCAAAATGTCCAAGATCAGTTGAACTTTTTTAGACCCCCTTTTTTTTTACCTCGATCGATTACATGTATGTGCTCCCCCCCCCCCCAAACATAAAACTCTGGCTACATGCCTGTAGGTAGATAGAAAGCCGTCGATTAGGGCTGGGTTACGGGGTAGGGTGTGTGTGTACCATGCAAACCCTTCTCTGGGGAAGTAATGTCGGCTTACTCCATCATTGTTTGTTTTGCTGCAACCAGCGACAACACAGCTTGACAGCATTTTCACGAAGAAATACAAAAATGCATCGTGAAAAACAAAAAAAATCACTGGAGATCCCAGCCATAGAATTGAAAGAACGAAACGAAGGTGCAAGCGTAAAGCTCGAATGCAAAAAAATAATGATAAAAATAAACAATGTGTAGTCTTTGCCCACTGTTTTGATATTTTGTGTTCTAAAGGAAACTGACGCCAGGCTGACAAGAACACACATGCAAAATAATGAAAGGAGGGTGATTTAGGCCTTAAAATGTCAAAAAAATGTCAAAGTATGAAATTAATTGGAAAAAAAAGAGACATTAATTTATCCAAAAAATAATATACACTTGATAATAAATCCCAGAGCGTTTCTGGCCATTTCTTCATTCCTTCATTCCTAATATGAATTACAATGAGATTGCAAGATTCTTAGTTGTAGAACAAATTAATACAAGGAAAATGCGTCATCAAGCCATGTGACCTTATTTTTCCTTTTTCGAGGGGTGGAGCTTAGCAAGTTGTGAGATCTGTGAAAAATGGATGGTTAACATTTTTTGCTCATTAAAGAGATTTTTTGAAAAATTGGAATATTGGAATATTAATAAGTAGAGGTGTATTCATGTTTTTAAAGGCCAAGTTAGTTGGGTTGGAGGAGCCGTTTGAATCTAATGAATCTGTCTTCCTATGTTCATCTACATATTCTACCATAGAGCCACCATTCATATACCATAGAGTCATCATTCATCTACCATAGAGCCACCATTCATCTACCATAGAACCACCATTCATCTACCATAGAGCCACCATTCATCTACCATAGAGCCATCATTCATCTACCATAGAGCCACCATTCATCTACCATAGAGCCACCATTCATCTACCATAGAGCCACCATTCATCTACCATAGAGCCACCATTCATCTACCATAGAGCCACCATTCATCTACCATAGAGTCACCATTCATCTACCATAGAGCCACCATTCATCTACCATAGAGCCTCCATTCATCTACCATAGAGCCACCATTCATCTACCATAGAGCCACTATTCATCTACCATTCACTACCATTCAAAATATGCAACAAAATGTTACGCTTAATTGTAGCATTTTGAAATGGTATATTCAGAATGGTAGTTTGGATCTTGATCTATGGTTAGCAGAATGGTGGCTGTAGTGCGTTCTATAGTACACAGAATGGTGACTATAATATATTGAATTTTTGAGAAATCTAAACTTAAATGTTAACTTACAATACACACATTACGCTTATTAAAAAAATGAATTGAATGAAAGTGGCAGGATGTATTTGGTTTATATCAAAAGTTGTATTCATGTATATGCTAAAAACTAAAATAAAAGGCAAGTAAAAAATATATCACATAAACATGTACACTACAAACTAAAATGAAAGGCAAGTTCGTAATTGCAACACATATTACTTGGACTTATTCTACTAAGATGTAATAAATACCCACATATCACCCTAGTTCCTCTAAATAATCGGCATGTTAAAAAGAAACAACTAAAATGTCATATACAGTGTGTACGTAAACATGACTAAAATGAAAGGCAAGTTAAAAATATATAAACATGTACAATAAAAACTAAGGCACTGAGTTGCAGCACAGGATTGTTCTAAAACATTTATAAACATGTACAATAAAAACTCAAATGAAAGGCAAGTTCATAATTGCAACACATATTACTTGGACTTATTCTACTAAGGTGTAATAAATACCCACATATATATCACCCTAGTTCCTCTAAATAACTAAAATGTCATATATAGTGTGTATGTAAACATGACTAAAATGAAAGGCAAGTTAAAAATATATAAACATGTACAATAAAAACTAAGGCACTGAGTTGCAGCACAGAAATGTTCTAAAACATTGTATAAACATGTACAATGAAGTTCAAGTCAAAGAGGTTGTATGTGAGTTCGAAGAGGAGCAGAAAAGACAAGCCTTGCTGCTCAGTTTTGGAGTCTCTGAAGGCGATCAAGGTCCCTCTGGCTGAGAACACTGAAGACCCAACCCTTTCTATACTCAAACTGTTTACATGATTTTGATAGACCCTCTGTGTCAAACGATCTCCCCTGTATCGATCGGTATCACTACCCCCACCCCATGATTCGATGTGTAACCTCGTCTATGCCATGTTCCATCGTAGGGCACTGCCACGTCCACATAATCATTTTCCCTGATGGTCAGATCCTTGTCCATGGCCCTTTGACGTAGGCATGCTGCCACCTTCTTCTTCTGATCCTTACTGGTCTGCAAAAAAAAAAGAGTTTGTAATAAATAAGAAGTAAATTTCAAGTTCCCTCAGGCCCCTTACTTATTAGACCCTATTACAAATATTTAGATTTGATTAATTTTCATCCCTTGATTTGACAAGAAGGGATATTGATGTACATGTATTATACTGTCTATCGACCATAACTAAGAAATAAAAAAAATGTTTGGATTAAATGTACGTACAGCTAAGATAATGTAATGAAGAAAACACAAGGCTGGTGACTAACCTCTTGGGACAAGGAAGATAAAGTGGCTATGTGCCTGTTGTAGCTAGGGGCTTCGACTAGTGGGGCTGTTCCGAGGATGGTCAGCAAGTCGCACAAGCTATCCCGTGCCAAACCAACCTCCGTTGTTGCCAGAGTAGCTCTGCGGTTTATTTCTGCAGACTTTCCACGTCCTTCGTTTTCATTTTCTGATGAAGATAATGTCCTCTCCTTCTTGCAAATGAAGCAACCAAGGACCATGGCGCGGTTCAACCCATTCCTCTTTGACAAATTCTCCAGAGGAATGAAATGCCCTGTAAAAGATATCCAAAACACTTTATGGAACAGGGAAAATATTTTGAAAAGCACAATCCCCAAATAATAAAGTGCTAGTTATGACATACATGTAGTATATTACACAAATACACATTTTCACAGATTTCACGACAAGTCCGATGCCCCCACTTCGATTCACCATAGAGTAAAGGAGGGGTTTTTCGGCTACTTAAGACAAAATCCTATTTTTTGGACTCTTTACTTCCTATTTATTATCATTTCTTGTTCAAATCATGAAGCAAATACTTGCTTGTTAAGGGATGATAGTTATGTGGAAAAAATTAAAGATGTCATTCAACAAACGATTGAGATATTCTGTCCCATATAATAGCAATGCAAATAGATTTGAGGTAGAATGAATTTACTGTAAATGATCAGTTATTTTTTGATACGTTGTTGACCATAATTAGAGGTGAAACAATTTTATACTCGGCCAGAAAGAAAAAAAGATTGGTAAATTTAGAATATGATTTAGAGAAAGAAATTATAGCTTTGGAGAAGGCATTGATATCAAAAACGGACAAAAATAGAGCTTTAGTCATATTAAATGAAAAGAAAGTTCAGTTAGAATCACTAAGAAAAGAAAAAATGGAAGGAATAAAGATGAGGTCTAAAATTAAATGGATGGAATATGGCGAGAAACCATCAAAATATTTTTTGAATTTAGAAAAAAGAAATGCTGTGAATAAACGTATATGCAAATTGGTCACTACTGAAAACAAGGAGATAACATCGCATGATGATATTATATCAGAAGTTGTATTATTCTACTCTAAATTGTATAAAAATAATCCTGTTGTTAATGTAGACTTAAATACAATATTAAATGATCCAGATATAAGTAAATTAACCGCTTCAATGTCACAGAAGCTCGAAGGAGAACTCTCCATCGATGAAGTTCATCAAGCACTTATAAATATGAAAAATAATAAATCACCTGGTCTAGATGGATACACCGTCGAATTTTTCAAACACTTTTGGAAAGAATTACACATATTTTTAGTGAGATATTTGAACTCTGCATATTCATCCGGAATGTCCTATACACAGAAGTTAGGAGTCATCACTTTAATTCCCAAAGGAAAAAAAGATAGACATTATTTGAAAAATTGGAGACCCATATCTTTATTGAACGTGGTGTATAAATTAGGTTCCTCTTGTATAGCAAACAGATTAAAGAACGTACTTCCTTTTCTTATACATGAAAACCAGAAAGGCTTTATGCCAGGGCGCTTCATTGGAGAGAATATCCGTTTGTTATATGATTTATTATTTATTTATCAATGACATTCCTGGTTTATTGCTGCTTATAGATTTTGAAAAAGCATTTGATTCTATTTCTCATGATTTCATTAGAAAAGTATTGCACTTCTTCAAGTTTGGTCCCTCTATTGTAAAATGGGTTAATGTATTCTATGAAAATGCTCAATCCTGTGTATTAATCAATGGACACCTGTCTCCAAGATTTTCAATAGAGCGAGGTTGTCATCAAGGAGATCCCATGTCAGCTCTTATCTTTCTGTTATGCGCCGAAATACTAGGTCTCTTGTTTAGAAATTCCGATTCCATTGTTGGTTTGAGCTTACCTGGTAGACAACTTAAAATAATTCAATATGCAGATGATACTCTTCTAACATTGAACGGGTCAGTAATGGAATTAAACAGTGCATTAAACATTTTAGATAAATATAATGCAATGTCTGGTTTAAAAGTTAATATACAGAAGACACATGCGATTTGGATTGGAGGATTTAAAAACAAGAAAGATGGTGTTCTTTTGAATAGAAATCTAAATTGGGTGTTTGATGATTATTTCAGATATTTAGGTATAGACTTTTGTACGGATTTGCCCAAATTGATAATTCACAATTATAATGAAAAATTTAAAGAAATAAAAAGTCAAATGACATCGTGGTTAAGACGATACTTAACTATTCTTGGAAGAATCACTGTTGTCAAGTCATTGTTGGTATCCAAATTAAACTACCTTTTTTTGTCCCTCCCTAATCCTGGTGAAAATCTTTTGAAAGATATAAATGCTCACTTTTATAGATTTATATGGGGGGAGAAACCTGATAAAATAAGTAGAAATCAAATGTCACAAAGTTACTCAGACGGAGGGGTTAAAATGATAGATATATACACACATTGCCAATCATTAAAAATATCCTGGATTAAGAGATTAGTAATTGGCTCAATAGATAGCAATATCCTCTGTCTTTTGCAATCTTTCTTGCCTGAACGGCAAGATTTAAAATTATATATGGGAAACAATTATTTTCGGGAACTGGCAGGTAAAACAAAGAACATTTTTTGGAAAGAAATGTTCATGGCTTATAGTACGCTCTTGTCCATGCATTATGATAACATTTCTTGCCAACCCTTATGGAATAATGATTACATTAAAATAGGCAATAGCTCAATATATAATAAAAAATTGTGTCAAAAGGGAGTTCGTTTTGTTAACGATATTTTAGACACAAATGGTGATTTTTTCTCTCTGGAACACTTTCAAGAAAAGTATAATATTCAAATAAATTTTCTTTTTTATCGTGGATTATGCGATGCAATTAGACAAGGGTTTAACAATTGTACTATTTTTAACAAGGTGCCACAACCTCTTTTCCCAGATACAATGGCATTTGTTATGAAACGTATTAAAGGATGTTCACATATCTATGCAATTTTATTCAAAAGAAGAAAAGGACAATGTAAAAGTTTTCTTAAATGGAAATGCATTTTTGACCTGAATGATAAGAGTTGGGAAACATATTGTTCTATTGGATTTAATTGTACTATTGATGTGGGCTTACGATGGTTTCAGTTTAAAGTCTTGCAACGCATATTATATACGAACGATCTACTGTTTAAAATGAATTTAGTCCCAAGAAAAGAATGTACATTTTGTAATGAACAGATTGAAACAGTTATACATCTGCTATGTGACTGTACGCATGTTAAAAATATTTGGGGTAAGTTAGAACACTGGATTAATACTGGAACCGGAAATAAATTAACATTTTCATTACAAGATAAATTATTTGGTTTAAAAGGTTCAAATAATTATGCATTGAATTGTATACTGATTGTGGTGCGACAGATGGTGTATACTTGCAAAATAAAGAAACAATTGCCCGACTTTGATAATATTAGAGTTTCGATTATAAATTACTTCAAGAACGAAAAGTATATTGCAAATTCGAATTGTAGAAATAATAAATTCACAAGAAAATGGTTTCAATTCAGGAATTTGTTTACTTAAAATGATATTTTTTCTGTATTTGTTTTTCTTTCCATGAGTGTTAGAAATGAATTATTGATTTGTTATTTTGTGTTAACTCAACAGTTCATCAATACTTGTATCTTGAAAAGCCAATTTTATTTTATTTATGTTATTATGTAAATTACCTTGAATATATATTTTTGTATGTGTTTCAAATGAAAATCAATAAAATCCCTGTGGAGGGAAAAATATGAAGAAAAAAAAAAGAAATGAAGCAAATACTATTATTATTTAAACAAAGAAAGAATCCCAGAAAAAAAATCATGAATTGCCAAGACAACATTCATTTCCATTTTCACTGTTTCGGAGGTAGTTTTTGGCCTAGCGAGGCAGTTTTCGGCCGCATGTACAAAGTCAATAGGAAGCAAGCAAGCGCGCCATGCGTTTCCACACTGATCTATAGCACTAGCGGCCGGAGCAGGTATCCCAAGCCGGAGCTTCCCGTGCCGAAAACTACCTCTCCCAGATAACAATACGACGTTACGCCAACGTGGGGCCAACGTAAGCTGTTACGTTGGTCCAACGTCGCCAACATGATGTTGGGCCCACGGCTTTCTTGCCAGCGGGACAACGTTGGCCCGACAGTGACAAAATGACATTAAGCCAACATCGGGCCAACGTTATGCCAACCCCTATCCGACCATATGTGCCGATGTCCTCCCGACATTGAACCAACGTTATGCCAACCTCTTTTCCACCGTATGCCGACGTCTTTCCGACATTGGACCAACGTCGTCCCAACCCTTTTTTAACCATGTGCCGACGTACGACCAACGTTATGCCAACCCCTATCCCACCATGTGCCGACGTCGTTCCGACATTGGATAAACGTTATGCCAACCCTTATCCCTCCATGTGCCGACGTCTCCTCGATATTGGCCCAACGTTATACCAACCCCTTTTCAACCATGTGCCGACGTCTCCACGACGTAGGGCCAACGTTATTCCAACCCCTATCCCACCATGTGCCGACGTATTTCCGACATTGGACCAACGTTATGCCAACCCCTATCCCACCATGTGCCGACAGTCGTGGGCTGTTACGTTGCGCCATCGTCGCCAATATGATGTTGGGCCAACGGCTTTCTTGCCGGCGGGCCAACGTTGGCTCGACAGCGACGAAATGACATTAAGCCAACATCGGGCCAACGTCCCCCCGACGTATGACCAACGTCATGTCAACCCCTATCCCACCATATGCCGACATAGGACAAACGTAATGCCAACCCCTTTTCCACCATGTGCCGACGTCTCCCTGACGTAGGACCAACGTAATGCCAACCCCTTTTACACTATGTGCCGACGTCTCCCCGACGTTGTCCTAACATAATGCCAACCCTTTTCTCACCAAGTGCCGACCCCTCCTCCACCATGTGCCAATGCTAGACCAACGTTATGCCAACCTCTTCTCCACCATTTGCCGACGTAGAAGCAACGTTATGCCAACCCATATCCCACCATGTGCCGACGTTGTACCTCCCCTTTCCAGTTCATGCCAACATCCTTCTGACATTACCAACACCAACTCAAAAACATATTTTCACCAACATCAGTCGTCCGTTCATAAGAACATCGTCAAGATCATACTACATCGGACATGTACAATCATTCAAACACATGCATCACAACGTGACAAGGAAAAAACAAGTAGTTTGAGATTGGATTAAATAAATAAACAGAGCAAAATCCACAAAATAAAAATAGTAACAATTTCATCAAAATTAGACTGAATTTGAGAAAAGTTCATTATAGAACTCGACTTAGATCCCTCTGGAAGATATGTATAATAACAATATTGCAGCAAGAGGGACATATTATTTTAATTTCGTCATGTCTATTATCTTGTACATTTTAATCACTATCAAAACTTGATAACAACTTATTTGTCCCATTTTAATGAAAAGTTCACCATCTTGCTTCTTAGAATTTGCTCTGAATACATTCCCCTCCCTCCAAAACAAAAGAACAAGGAAAATAAAATGATTTTGTGATAAAACATACTTTATTTTATGTGTAATAAACAAACTGTTGTAAATGTGAATACAATTATTGTACATCTTTCTTTGGCATTTTCGTTTGAATTCAAAAAAGATGTAAAAATAGTTTCAAGTTCAAGGTATCTCAATGTGTCACAATATAGGCCTACTATTAGTGCGGTATGGTATGTAATCCCGTAGGATTTTTTTGCCAAAATTGATTTTTTGGCTGTTTTGGCTTCAAAAGGGTCCCAATTGGCCAAAAATGATGGGGTTCAAATTTTGAGACCCCTCCTTCACTTCCTGGGGGGTCCATTTTGGGCGCCAAAATTGCATATATAAAGCGCAATAGGGAAATTTGGTGTCTTCCACCCTAATTCATATATTTTTTCGCCAATTTCACTGTGAAGTTGTCTGAGGTATATACGGATTCATTTTTAATGATATTACGTCATAAAACTTTTTCACTTTGACCTTATGGGGGCGCAATTTGTGAAAAATTGTGAAAAAATGGGAAATATTTCCTAAAAAATGTGCCCTTCTTCTTTCTTTTGGGCTAGAATTTTGAAATAATAAGTGGAGATGGCATTAATGTGTGTTGTGTGTTATTATACAGCGGAATAATTGTGAAACCTATCACATGTCATTAACACTGTTATTTTAGGCTGTTAATATAAAAATCAACCCTATTTTAGTCCTCTATCAAATGAATAACTTACTTAAACACCAGATGGTGCCGAACACCTTCAGATGATAATATAACAAAATTCTCAAATATCAACTTCTAGGCACTGAAATTGCATCAGTCAATCAGAAAGTTGACAAATTATATATGTACTATTTTTTTTCAAATGCAAAATAATACGAAAATGTGCATTTTGTTTTGTTGATATGCCCCCCCCCCCCCCCGCCCCGGAGAAAAAAACTACAGAAACAAGTTGAGCTATTTTGTTCCGAAACACTTGTACATATGGCACAATCTTGATCTAAATCAAAGAATTATTTGGAAACATTTTCCAGTTATAAACAAAACATAAAATAAAATCGGAAAAGGGGTAACCACCTACTTCGTGGTTACCATGACAACAGGAAAATTCATCAGACTTCCAGTAAAAGTCAATCGCTGTCACTATCTGGAGCATCCTCCCTTGTCCGGTTTTCACAGTCTCCACTATAGCATTTACAGAGAGGAGTGCAGGGCAAATCGTTGTTGGAGCAGCTACACCGTCCCTTGCATCCTGATTTGCAGCCACATTTGATGAGTTCAAGTACTGCCCGTGGTGCAGGGAGCGCAAGACACTTGACTGGAAGACATCCTCGATTATCTGAATACCATCCATTCTCTTCGATAGGAGGAAGCACTGGGTAGTTAGTCTTGTATGATTTATCTCTCATCGTGATGTAATTGGCACGGAGGATGTGAGGTAGTAATGCGGCACGAGTTGGAGGTAACATCTCACCTTCTAGGTTCTTTGATCGGAACAGTTCCCATCTGAGCGATGGTAGGGTTGTTGGACCTGATGAACAGTAAACACGACATATGAAATGCTCTAGTGCCTTCACCTGTGTTGGAAGCTCTCCATTGCTAAGCTCAGTTGGAATGGAACCCTCACCTAGTTCTTTGAAGCAGATAATGACAGGATCATCATCATCAAGCTTTAAGTAGGAATTGATCCATGTCTTCTTGGATATCCCAACAAACTTTCCTCCCCAGTCAGCACCAGAAAAATTATGAAGTCCAAGGAGGCCTTGACATTTTTGTTGTCCAATGACTTGAACCCGCTCCAGCACATCTATTTCTCGTTTCTTTGTACCCTTGCCTGTAGAAAATTGTAAAGAAGTGGGCACTGCATTGTTTCCACAAGATGCTAGATGAATTAAGAGAAGGAGGACATCAGTGTCAGGGGACCAGACAGTAATTTCTTGCAAGGCACCACTAGCAGTAGAGGCAAGGACTTGATTAGGAATCAGGGTATCAGCCTCTTCATGTGTGTGCGCCTCCTCAAAATCATGTCCCTTGATGAAGGTATCATACACAACCACTAGCTTGAAAGGGCTGTCCGTGTTCTGTGAAAAGTTATCAAGCAGCCCCTGACCTAACAGGCACGTCAGCTTTTTCTTGGTTGACGATGAAGATAGAAGCTCCTTGATGGACATTGTGAGCTTCATTTCTGGGTGTATCTCGTATTCTACTGATGTAGTTGCTCTCTTTTGTCGAGTCTTGTTCTTTAATGACTCTTCCATATATCGATCAAACACAACTCGACCTTCATCATAGCTAGCCATCATCCCTTCGATGCGCCTGTTGAATGCAGTCTGCAGGTCTGACATCTTTTGCATGGCAGGTGTCTTTTTCATGCCTTGAAGTACACCCATGACGTCAATTATCAGCACTTTGACAGGAAGATCATGCAAGAGGTTAGGTTGTTGGGCCGCTCCAGAAGGAACCTGCGTTATCTCATGTTCTACGGTAACCGGAATCTCTTCCTGCATCATTTCAACCTGTGGGGAAGTTGAATGATTATCCTCCACGACGTCAGGCTGTTTTACAGCATCGGGAGGTTCTGCCTTTGCATCTTCAACTGCATGCATCAGACTTGCTTTGTCTGTTGGGATGTACAAAGAACCATCGACAGCACAGAGTGAACGGGGAACCACTGACATTTCATATTCACCTATTGTTTCCGCAAGTTTAGGAACTAAGCTTGGGCGGCTGCCTTGGATGATAAGGAATCTTCCCAGCAATTCACGTTCCTCCCGCAACTTGATGACCTTGTCTCCAACACGCACTTTCCTTTTCTCCATCCAGTTCGAAAATGATTTCAGCTTCAGTTTCTTCATTTTGTCCCACACCGAGAGGGTTGATGATGAAAGCAAACGATCAGATACAAACTCCTCAAAGCGCTTCTGGTCCTTTTCTGCAAAGTGGAGAATGTCACTTTTCGCCTCATTTGACACAAGTGCCGATGAAACCAAACTCTTCAATTGTGTCTTCTCCTTGAAAGGATTGACTCCGCAGTGCAGCTCGATTAGGTGGCGTAGTTTCAGAGCATTCTTCTTTGACCTCACTGCAATGTCTCCTGAGAGCTGATGATGCTCCTTCCTCGCCGAAGCTCCAGTAGCTTTTGGGAAGTCATTGAGGTAAAGATTTACCAGAGCAGCAAGGTGAGGTGTGGTAGTGACTAGTCGGTCCAGAGCGGCTTCATTTCTTGTGAGTCCAACCATCCCACCATTCCCCTTTAGTTTCTTGATTTCTTGCTCTAGAGCCTGATCAGTGAAGAGAAGAGAAAAGGGTATCTCTGACTTTGCCACCACAAAGTCTCCTGACTTGAGGGCATTCCATGTTTCTGGATCATCCTCTTCTAGGGCATTCATTTGAGCGAGATGGACTGGCATCAGGCGAGCATAGTTCAGGAGATCACGAGCAAAGAAGTACTTGGTGAGGTCTTCTAGTGATGACAAGTAGCCCTCCCAGTCCCCTGATCGACATGAACTAATGAGATGTAGAAGACTCTCCACCTGGTTAAGATACTGAGTCAAGAACTGGGCAAACTCGCCAAGGTCTTCAGCTTCTTCAAGCGGTTTGACATTGCTTGAGTACCAGGATTGGATTTCTTCATAGATCTTCACCATCTCTGGGTCACGTCCATGAAGTTTTTCTTTGAGAGAATTGCACTGGATGCGAATTGGACCCTTGGGAAGATCCGATAGTATGGCATCAAAACGCAACATCATGATTGCAAGGCTGGCAGTAATGTGGAATTCAAGGCCACGCTTATAAGCTTTACCACCAAAGATCCTGCGAAGAGATGCTGAGGTGTACGCACCACATTCGATAGCACACGTGTCAAGACCGCTACCATCGATGGTTTTGCCAAGAGCATGTAAGGCAGCGAAAGCAATGTGGAGAACTCCAGCTCTTAAGATCCAGTTGGCGTTTCCCACCGACTGCTGAATCTTCAACGCTCGGGAGTAAAGATCGAGATCTAGCGTTATCAATGTCTTTCTATGAGGGCCAACAACAGTCGCAGATATTCCCTGGGATAACCGAAGAACAGTATAAAGGGTCCCATAATCAGTTGGCGATGTCTTGAATAATGGGGCAACCACCGCTGTGTTTGTAGGCGTGCTAGCGGGAGAGGATTGAGACAACAATAAGGACCTAGTTGCAGCCCATGTTGGAAGAACATCATTCTTTGCGAGTTTATCTGATTTCTTCACCTGCTTTTTGATGATCACGACAGAGTCTGTTTCCTCTCTGTCCTTTGAAGACCCAGCTTCCCCCTTGTTGCTAGAAGGCTCAGTTTCCTCATCATTTGTAGACTCTGCATCACTTGGCATCTCTTCACTGCGCTGGGCTTCTTCATCGTGCAGCTGAGGTTCAGTTTGGATCATTTCTCCGTTGTCATCTGTTGTAAGGTAGTTCACAAGAGCCCAGGTATGAGTGAATTCTTGAGAAATGAGATTTTGTTTCCTCTTCTTGTAGGCCTGAAATCTCAGTGGGCTGGTTCTGATGACTGGCTCTGGAAGCACATTCATCTCAAATGCTAGAAGGTCTTGCGAAGAAAGTTTCTCGGGTATGACAAGTGGTTGATTCACTGGCTCTCCATCTGCAGCCTGTTGGTTGATTACAACCACTGTCCCGTGAAAGGTTCCTTGCCCTGTGGGTGTGTCTTCCAAGAGATCAATGTTGTCAATGGCAAACCAGATGTTCACACCCTTCTTGACAAAATCAGGAAGACAAAACCCCCCAGCATCCTTCATTCGTTGAAGAACTGACTGCTCAACTCTCTTTTCTAGATCAAGTATCTTGTGATAGTCACTTCCAATGTAGGCTTCTGAAAGGTTTTGAACAAGGTTCTTGTCACGAACTCGAGAGTGGATAGCAAGAGGCAGTCCAATTGACAAGGGTGATAGGATGTTTTGACGAAAACTGTGATCTCTCTTTGGTTGATATTTTACTTGACGATCAGTATGAGTGTTTTGGACGAGAAATTGACAAGCTACATCGACAGTTTTGTCTACTTCTTGGTCCCGCATTCCAGACACTTTAACAACATGACTACCAAAGAGGAGGTGGCTTAGGAAGAATTGGAGTAATGATGGATTCTTGAAGTCATCAAAGGTACCTGTAAATGACCAGCCGTGCATTTGCCTAATTTGGTGTCGGAGAAGGCCAGCCACTTTCCTCAAGGTACCAATTATCTCACCATCATCCATCAATGAAAGACTGAGATCAATAGCTTTGCTGACTGTACTCGATTTGACAAGCTTTTCTGGTTCGTTGCGTCGCAATGAGCTGACAAACTGGACTTCTGGAAGACGTTCACCGATAAGCTTTTTCAAATATTTGCGATAGTTTTTAGTCTCATCAATTTCTGTGTGATATCTTTTCAGGATTGACAAGTAAGCATCATTAACCTGAGCCATGTTTAGTGTAACATCATCAGTGAGGGTGTTTTCAATGGCGAGGATGAGTTGCTCGTCACATAATGTGCGAGTAAGTGACGCCTTTTCATGGTCTACGTTTGATGTCAATGTACGTTTTGCAGCACGAAGACAGTTCCTGTGATAATATTTTTCAAAAGCTGAAGCATCACCAACGTCTTCTAGGTCTGCTACGCAAATTCTTACTTGGTCATCCTGGGTCTCCTGCTTTATCTCAAGAAGTTTTTGTCCCATTGCATCAGAACAAACACGATGAAGAGGTTCCGAACCAGCCTTTGAGCAGAAGTCGCATTGTGAGAATAAACACACTTTTTCCTTTGGAACAGTCTTTGATCGTTTGGGTCTGGCAGGTCCTGTTGTACTGGGAGGTCGCCCGGGTCCTCCTCTTGAACAGCCAGGAGAATCAGGTAGGGATCTCTTTCCCTTGAGACGCTCGATCATAGACTTGTTCACAACAGGCTTCCGACACTCACTATGATAATGAACCAATTTTAGTTCCAGATCACTTAGGCCAGATAGGTGGTCTATAAGCGGCTGCAGATTACTTTCTCCTAAAGACACTCTCTCCCTGCACGACCGTAAAAGTTCATCAATCATGGCTGGATTGTTTACCAGTCGCTTACCTGGGATGGAAGCCCCTTTACAGATCACACATACCTTGTTTTCATCTGACATGGTTGCTAGAACTGTTCATCTCATCCTAAAAACACAAAGATACAAAAAGACTCCGCCGAACCAGTTTTGATTTATTTCCACCTAAATCAACCATGAATTTCTCTAAAATTCTGTCATTTCCTTTTCTCAAAGTTTCTCAAAGTTTCTCAAAGTTTCTCAAACGGGGGAAACAAATGTGTACTCTGATATGTTAATCTTATCATGGACCTATTCCGAATGGACATTCGTCGTTTTGTTAACAAATTCATTGTGATTGTCTCCGTCAATGTCGTCTCAATAACATTCCCTACATGTTTCTTCACTTTGATCTCACGAAGTCCACCGCCAATAAGCCAGGACAGAATCAAGATAGTGATATTAAACGTGTTAATAAGCACAGAAGATAATAAATCGCTTAAATCATGAGAAATCGATGTGCAGTTGTCATTAATAATCGGAAATTGTTGTACCGTGTAACTGTGTTTTATTTTTGAATAACATGTTGATATTACCCGATGGGTTATATTTGGATTGTTTTTTATTTAAAATTACGTTTTCCCCAATTTCCTCATAATATTGCAGAATTACAACGCACATGGCTTATAAAGATCATGGCCTTCTAATTGTTTTATAAGGTCATTGGTGCGTGCGTAAGTGTACGAATCAGTAATAATAAATTTTATATCACCAAAATCGTCTGCTTTTCAACTTTGCTGCTCCCCATTGGTAATTCTTTTTATTTAATACACACTCTTACAGAGCACACCATCCACACAAAACACATTAGAGGGATACTGCTCCTTTGTTAATGACCGAAAATGCTTAAACAGTCGTGTTGTTAAAACAGCTGAATGTTCTCATTAAGATGCACATAATCAGAAGGCGGTGGATGTCATTGGATCAAAGACAGAATAACGTTGAATGTCCTTCCGTAATAGGTCCATGATCTTATATATATATATATATATATCAATGCATACAATGTTTACCAATTTGTCAATTTAACCATCTAAATTGATTGATTGATCAAGAGTAATAAAGATCTCTCTTTTTTTTTCAATTTATTTTCTTCTTCTCTAACCGATAATGAAGACCCACATCACAAATTTTAAAATCTAGATTTGCAAAAGCTATATGTTTATGCTTACCTTGGAAAATCAGGCAATTTACTGCAAAATAGGGGTCTTTATTCTGTCAAACTTGCGAAGACCAATGAACAAAACAACTTTTACCACAGAAGAGCTGGAGACAATGATCACAGAGCAGCATAATTATGTAGGAATGTGTGCGCGCTGTGTGCGCGCGAGCGCACTTGCCTGTAAATGTTTGGGTGTGTGTGAGTATGTGCGTTGGGAGGAAGGGTGTGTGTGCGTGTGCGTGAACGTGTGTGTGTGTGCGTATGTGTGTGTGTGTGTGTGGGGGGGGTAGATGTGTATACATGAAGGTTGTCTGTATGTTTGTTTCTGTCTCTTTGTGTTTGAAAATGGGCTAGTAAATATGATAATGGTAATAAAATACTACACCTTAAAACAGCTGGCCGAACAATGACAAAGGTATGCAATTTGGGCTGACGGGGGTGGGGTAGAGATGGGGATGGGTTGGTTAGAGGGTTTATCCAACTAAAAGTCTTCAAATTACCTTTCTCGCTGTTGAGGGATAATCACAGTTCTAGAAAACAACTCAAGTTTTGTGAAACCAGTCATTAGATAAATGACACACCCAATTTTAGGGGGTCTCATGATAGGAAACTACCCCCCCCCCCCCCCAGAGAGGGGTTGAGGGTCGGGAAAATTTGAACCCCATCAATTTCTGATAGCTTGGACCCCAATCAATCCAAAAATGCCAAAAAATCAATTTTGGCACAAAAGTCCTACGGGAGCTGTTTCAGTGACATACCGTACCACACTATATCAATGAATGCTAGGACGATAGGAGCTGTTATAAAATGAAGTGTCGCTTACACGTAACACAACATAACATACTGAAATTCATTGTACGAATATAATAAACGATCCTCACAACTTCCCGAGTAAAACCAAACAAACTTTCTGGCAGACGAACATGATCGCTTATGACAAGATTCCTCTACATATGTACAGCACAAAAATATAAAGAAATTAATAAAGTGTCCACCATTTGCATACCAAGAACTAGGCAATTAATGTAAACAATGTTCCATAAAAAAATAAAAAATAAAATTCAGAGAATGCCAACATTTTTTATGCTGATACATTTCGTCGCCATATCTATTAACACATCTACAAACTGTTTTTTTTTAGGAGGGATAGTATACATTGCTTGAATGTGTGAAGTAAAGCAATTGCTAAATGTTTATATAACAAGAGAGGAAATTTGAAAGTGAAGTAAGAAGGAGCATGCAGAGCTTGTAAAGGGAAAAACACAAGTTTCTTCACTCTGGTATACCACTTTCAATATTTCTTTAAATTGAGAAGAAGGTAGTACGAAAAACATTCAGTCACTTAGATATATGAAATATTTTTTCTTACCTTTGAAATTCTTTATAGCATACATTTAGTTCACACGTTATATAGGCATTCAAATCAATTACGACCTTCTTCGACTCATGGTATAGCTCTCTTTTTAAAATTGGGCCATTAGTGAAATTTCACCACAACAAATAACAAGTAAAGATGCATAGCACACTATTTAATAACAAAAGTTATTGTTTATGTTTGTGTACAAAACATAATGCACACTATTTAATAACAAAAGTTATTGTTTATGTTTGTGTACAAAACATAATGCCTGCAGAGCTGGCTAGCAAGCACCGTAGCTTGCCTAAGCGGAGATCGTTCTTGATATAACATCACTAATCCTTTGGTCAATCATTCCGAGGAACTCTGAGAATTGTAAGGGGCGGGGTCCACCATTAGACGAGCAACTTGGAGAGGTTTCAAAAATTTGTAAAAAATATAAGGAGGCATTTATTTATGAAACAATTGCTATTATGTTGCTTTAAAAGGGTCTTGATACAAGACATAAAAGTTTTAATTTCCTAAGGCAATGGACCTTTAAAGAATGGGTTAGTCGGAATCAAAATCTTGTCTAGCTTGTGGTGGTACAACTTCGACATCTGCGGCAAAAAAAAGAACAAGAACAAGATTTAAAAGCAGATCATGGAAACATCACCTTGAAATAGTACGGATATTAATCAAATAGTACGGCATTCAAGGGAAGTAGTCCTGAGTGGCACATCCTCCCTAGTTTTGATGAAATTTCATGGATAGAAGTACTTTGTCATGAAAATAACTTCGTTCAAACTTTAGAGCGAATGACCCAGACGTATGGAAATTAGAAAGGAATGGATTTATTTTTGTCTTGTTTAATTAGAATAGCATCAAACACTCTTCTTAACAAAGGAAATATACATTTGAGGTAAAATGGCAGTAATATTCTTCAATAGAAAGAACTAATTTATAGTATCTGTTTGCTCAGTGTTGAGATGCTTGATTGATAACAGTTTAAAGCCCCTCTTAAGTGTTGGATCCCAACATTAGCCAAAGAATAGATGGCACAATCTCACTTAAATGGTATGATATAAAAGAGGATGTCATTAACACCCGGACACTTCTGCAAATAGAATATTGCCCTAACAAATGTGTTTGAAGTAGAATATGGATGAAAGAATACAAAATTTGCATTTTCTGCATACAACACAAAACCCTTAATTAGTAAGTTTGTATTCTTTCTAATTTTTAGGAAAAATGTTTGAAGAAGAGTGGCATTCTCTTTCACATCATTATAAAATTGAAGTGAAATGTGAAGCTCCCAATACTTTTTTTTTGTATTTACGTAAGCTCCCAATACTTGAGAGAGCTCGAGGGGCTTCAAAGTAGAAACAAAAACACAAAGCTATATCGTTAGTTGCTTATACAAGAAACAAATCAATTGACTGTGTTTTGTTTTTTGTGGCACCCTGCATTCAGAATTGTTTCCAACAAAATACTGCTATAAGCAGTATTTCATGATTTTTTGTTGTTGAATAGTTTTGTAAGTGATCACAATGCAGTTTCTCAATATAATCAGGAAAAAGATACTAGCATTTGTTAGCATCTATTTCCTACACAAACGTACATTAATCCGGTACATTTGTACTTTGTGTGCAGGGCACAACTATAACGAATACTAAGAAGTGCTATCCTGTCTACATGTATAACTAAATACAAAATGAATAAAATGCCAAATGACATACCCATATTTCTGAATGTTGAGGTCAATGGGGTCGTTGGGGTCGACAGTGTTCTGGAGGTTGATGGGGTCGATGTCGAAGGGGTCCTTGGTGCTGTTGATGCTGTTCTGGATGATCGAGGTATAGCTGGATCTGGACGGGTAGAGGAATCTGGAATTTGTTGTGAAGTTGACGATATGAAATGCAGGATTTAATATTTAAATTTCAGAATTGCAGGGATTATAGGAGAAAAAAGTATTGGGATTTGGAAGAGCTATATAGAATTGAATGTATTAATAAAGAACGTCAGAATTTTGAAATAAATAATTAGAATATTTACCTTCAGTTCAAATTATAGCAATTTAATATACATGTGCATAAACAATAAAAACTAATTTGAAAATGAGAATAAAAATGCAGCAATAATCAAATTTGTGAATGAAAATTGTGAATGAAAATTATGGGATCGATCAGTGTTACCCCCGCCCCCACTAGTTTTTCCTATTTACTATTTGTTCAAATTGAGGTTCTTGGCCAATTGCGACTTTAAATGATTGCAAATGCCAAAATGAGGGTAATTCCCACCAGCTACCTCTTTCTTATCACACTCACAATCCACTAAATGTGTTGATACAAAGTTCTTGCATATTTTGGCAGACTTGGCACACTCCCTTGTAAGATTTCAGGAGGCTAGAAACATGTACTAGCGGGATATCTGAATTCACAGCCCAATCTCGTAATTTATTCCTTTTCGAACTGAATCATCATCAGCATATATTGAGCTACTACAGAGTATAGTATAGACCTACTTCTAAATCTGAAAGTATCAGAGACTATAATATCATTTAGATATGCATAAAAAAATGATGCGTCTTCCCATTCAGCTCTATATATCAAGATCATTATTTGATTCAATTGGTCTTTCCAACAATGCATCAGCACCTTCAACACTTGTAACACCAACAAATTCACAATCATTTGATTCATGGTCGATATTGCATATTGGGATGAACATCATCACTGTCACGGACGCTGCAACATGATGCATCAATACATCACCTAGGTCTACCTCTAAGTCAGGAACATATTAACATTTATCACGGCAAACACTCAATGCATCTGCTGCCGACACTTCGGCCCCCATCATAGCCATCCGCATGGCTTTCATCGAAAGGGTGTGGTGCGGTGCGGCGCGGTGTGGTGTGCTCAACGCACCCATTCGATAAAAGAGGGGGGCCTTTTCTCGAAAGGGTGCGTTGAGAGCGGAGTACCGTTTTAACACACCCTTTCGATGAAAGCGGGGGGGGGCTTTTCTCGAAAGGGTGCGTCGACTAGTCTTTCGCATCAGTCGTTTAAAATGAGGATCTCGCACAGAAGGTAATAGTTGCCAATTTAAGTATATCGAAAATGTATTAAATAAAATGGAATGGTCTTGATTACAGAGTGGTCTCTTTCGTTATTACTATGTTGATGGGGGAGACAGAGAGAAGGAAAAAAGGGAAAGGGAAGATAAAAGGAAAGAAAGAAGAATAAGAAGAGAAGAGGGAAACGAAGGGGGGAAGGGAAAGCTCTTGCCCCCCCCCCCCCCCCCCCCGCCAAAAAATAAATCAGAGAGAGAGAGAAGGGAAAGGGAAAGAGAAGATAAAAGGAAAGAAAGAAGAGGAAGAAGAATAAGAAGAAAAGAGGGAAACGGGGGCGAAGGGCTCTTGCCCTCCCCCCCCCCCCGCCAAAAATAAATAAGAGAGAGAGAAGGGAGAGGGAAAGAAAATATAAAAGGAAAGAAAGAAGAGGAATAAGAAGGAAAGAGGGAAACGGGGGAAGGGCGAAGGGCTCTTCCCCCCCCCCCCCCCGCCAACAAAATAAATAAGAGAGAGAGAGAGTGAAGGGAAAGGGAAAGAAAATATAAAAGGAAAGAAAGAAGAGGAAAAAGAATAAGAAAAGAGGGAAACAGGGGCGAAGGGCTCTTGCCTCCTCCTCCCCCCCCCCCCCCGCCAAAAAATAAATAAGAGAGAGAGAGAGAGAATCTGTTCTGATCCTGGTCCTGATCCTCAAGAGGGATATGAAGATGACCAATAAGAACGTTATCGTTCGAGAGAGAGTGTTTGTTGCTTCTAGAACATTTTAGAATTAAGTCCCATCACATTGCAGTTGTGGGGAGGGACTATGATTATATTACCCCCTTGGATGGCTTCCAGTCTGGCTTTGAAGGTTTCGACTGCGTCGCAGGCAAAGATGCTGGGGGGGGGGAAGTAAATTCCAGGCCCGTATGGTTCTTGGAAAGAAGGTGAGTCGATATATATCCGTCTTGCATCTTATGTTGGAGAAGGAGAGGGAAAGAGAAGATAAAAGGAAAGAAAGAAGAGGAAGAGGAAGAAGAATTTGTGTTCTGCCAGTGTCACAAATAGATATATAAATATGCTCATCTGACGATAATTTGATGTATAAAACCCCTCACCTTCTTGGGGCTCCGCCCCTTGGATCCAACACCAATTTGTGTCCTTCCAGTGTCACAAATAGATATAAAAATATGCTCATCTGACCGTTATTTATTGCCCAAAACCCCTGAGCTTCCGGGTGCTCCGCCCCCTGGACCCCACGCCAATTCGTGACCCCTGTGTCACAAATAAGGTATAAAATAATAATTATTTAATGGACAAAACTCCTGAGCTTCTGGGGGCTCCGCCCCCTGGACCCAACTCCAAATTGTGTCCTGCCACTGTCACAAATAAGGTATAAAATTATGCTCATCCGACGTTAATTTTGATGTTTAATACCCCTGAGCTTCTGAGGGCTCCGCCCTGTGAAAAAAACGTGTAAAAAAAACACGTTAATTTTTACCGTTTTCGAGTCTTACGCATCTTTTGAAACATTTTTTTGTTGAAAATCGGACGTATAATTGCGGAGTCACGTGACCTTTTGTTTTTGCATGTCAGCCCTAAAATCGCTCATTTTTGTGATTTATGTACCAAACATATGGAAATACCATTTATTCTTTAAAAAAAAGATAAAACATTGGTTATTTGGTCTTGTTTCAAGTTAATGTTTGATTTTGGGTAAAAATAGTTGAATTGTGGTTAGAAATGAAATGAAATAACAAAATAATATAATACATAAATACAAATTATCAAAACAAGAGATAACTTAGGGATAAACTGGCTCTTCCAACTTTGTTGTCGTATTATTATTCTAACGAATATATGAAGTGAAAAAGAACGCTCGAATATGAATTATATATGATTTATGGGTAAAAACGTGAATTCTCTGACCTTGTTTGCATAAATTACCATAAATATGCATTTTCGCGGCGATCGGTTGTGAAACGGCCGAGATCTTAGGGGGACCCCCACCCCCACCCTCAAGTCCACTCCAATCAAATTGAAAAAAAGTATGACTTAAATCATCTCACCATTATACCGCTATAGTATTCATGTTTTTAATATTATTTATTGTCCATTAAACAAGTTCATAGAGAAAATACTTATCTCTCTGCAACATTAAAAAAGAATCTTCATTAATATGTCTTAATTTGTATTGATAGCCTTGTGGTCGCCAACAGTGGCGAAGGCAGGGGCGTCTCCAAAGGGGGTGTGGGGGTGCGACACCCCCCCCCCACCTGTCAGGATATTGTCGGTAAAATTGCGCTGCCGTCGGGAAAAAAGAGAAAAGGGGGAGGGGAAAAAAGAGAGTAAAAGGGAAAGAAAAGAAAAAAAGAAAAAGAAAAGAAAAAAAGAAAAGAAAGGAAAGAAAAGAGAAGAAAGAAAAGAAAGAAAGAGAAAAACGAAAAAGCGGGAGAATAGGAAAGAAAGGAGGCAAGAGCCCTTTGCCCCCGTTACCCTCTTTTATTCTTCTTCCTCTTCTTTCTTTCCTTTTATATTTTCTTTCCTCTTTCCCTTTCCCTTTCCCTTCTCTATCTCTCTCTCTCTCTTTTTTTTATTTTTTGGCGGGGGGGGGGGCAAGAGCCCTTCGCCCCCGTTTCCCTCTTTTTCCTTTCCTTTTATCTTCTCTTTCCCTTTCCCTTTCCCTTCTCTCTCTCTCTCTCTCTCTCTTATTTATTTTTTGCCGGGGGGGGGGGGGGGAGGAGGCAACAGCCCTCGCCCCCGTTTCCCTCTTTTCTTCTTTCTTTCCTTTTAGATTTTCTTTCCCTCTCCCTTCTCTCTTCTCTCTCTTTTTTTATTTTTTGGCGGGGGGGGGGGGGGGGGGGCAAGAGCCCTTCGCCCCCGTTTCCCTCTTTTTCCTTTCCTTTTATCTTCTCTTTCCCTTTCCCTTTCCCTTTCCCTTCTCTCTCTCTCTCTCTCTCTTATTTATTTTTTGCCGGGGGGGGGGGGGGAGGAGGCAACAGCCCTTCGCCCCCGTTTCCCTCTTTTCTTCTTTCTTTTTCCTCTTCTTTCTTTCCTTTTAGATTTTCTTTCCCTCTCCCTTCTCTCTCTCTCTGTTATTTATTTTTTTTGGCGGGAGGGGGTGGGGGGGAGGTAAGAACCTTTCGCCCTTCCTCCGTATCCATCTTTCCTTCTTCTTCTTCTTTCTTTCCTTTTATATTTTCTTTCCCTTTCCCTTCTCTCTCTCTCTCTCTCTCTCCTATTTATTTGTTGGCGGGGGGGGGGAGGAGGCAAGAGCCCTTCGCCCCCGTTTCCCTCTTTTCTTTTTATTCTTCTTCTTCTTCTTTCTTTCCTTTTATATTCTCTTTCCATTTCCCTTTCCCTTCTCTCTCTCTCTCTCTCTCTCCCTTTCGCCCTTCCCCCGTTTCCCTCTTTCCTTCTTCTTCTTCTTTCTTTCCTTTTATATTTTCTTTCCCTTTCCCTTTCCCTTCTCTCTATCTCTCTCTCTCTACTATTTATTTGTTGGCGGGGGGGGGGGGGAGGAGGCAAAAGCCTTTTGCCCCCGTTTCTATCTTTTCTTCTTCTTCCTCTTCTTTCTTTCCTTTTATCTTCTCTTTCCCTTTCCCTTTCCCTTCTCTCTCTCTCTGATTTATTTTTTGGCGGGGGGGGGGGGGGGGCAAGAGTCCTTCGCCCCCCCCCCCCCCGTTTCCCTCTTCTCTTCTTATTCTTCTTTCTTTCCTTTTATCTTCCCTTTCCCTTTTTTCCTTCTCTCTGTCTCCCCCATCAACATAGTAATAACGAAAGAGACCACTCTGTAATCAAGACCATTCCATTTTATTTAATACATTTTCGATA